CTGGAAATACCACCTTGAGTTACGAGACGTAAATCTAGCCCCTAGCCATTTATTTTTTTTATTTTTATTTTTATTTTTTTTAAAGATTTTATTTATTTTATTTTTTCCCCCCAAAGCCCCAGTAGATAGTAGATAGTATGTCATAGCTGCACATCCTTCTAGTTGCTGCATGTGGGACTCGGCCTCAGGATGGACGGAGAAGTGGTGCCTCGATGCGCACCCGGGATCCGAACCCCGGGCCACCAGCATTGCAGCGCGCACACTTAACCACCAAGCCACAGGGCCGGCCCATCCCCTAGCCATTTATGTCAGATTTTCTCCCCTCTGACTTAAGTGGCCTTACTTGGTGAGGTTTTGCTACTGATAGTGATCGTGATAATAATTATAATAAACCTTTTTAAGTGCTTACTATGTGCCAAGCACTGTTCTAACTGTTCTAAGCACCCTACATTTTTTTTTTTTTTACTTTATTTATTTATTTTTTTGTGAGGAAGATCAGCCCTGAGCTAACATCCGTGCTAGTCCTCCTCTTTTTGCTGAGGAGGACTGGCACTGAGGTAACATCTATTGCCAACCCCCCCCATCCCCTCTCCCCCAAAGCCCCAGTAGATAGTTGTATGTCATAGTTGCACATCCTTCCAGTTGCCGTATGTGGGACTCAGCCTCAGCATGGCCGGAGAAGCGGTGCGTCGGTGCGTGCCCAGGAACCGAACCTGGGCCACCAGTAGCGGAGCGCACGCACTTAACCGCTAAGCCACGGGGCCAGCCCTAAGCACCCTACTTAATCCTCATACGAACCCTACGAGATAGGTACAATTATTATCCCCATTTGACAGGTGGGGAAACTGAGGCTCAAAGTGATTCGGTAATGCCCAAGAGTAAACTGTAACAGTAGAGATGGGCTATGAAGTCAGGTAATCTGTCTCTGGGATCTTCGCACTTAACTCTGCTGCTCTGCCTCCCGAGAAGCTCAGGGTACCCAGTGGCCTCCTCCAAAGGAACCTCAAGGGAATATGCTAGGGCATACAGAGAAGCCCACCAGGCGGGGCATGGTGTCCTGTGCGGGCACAGACAGGTGGAGAGAAACAGGGGGAGCTCTTTTTTTTTTTGCTAAGGAAGATTTGCCCTGAGCTGGGGCCAGCCCAGTAGCGCAGTGGTTAAGTGCGTGCGCTCTGCTTCGGCGGCCCAGTGTTCGCAGGTTCAGATCCCGGGCGCACACCAACACACTGCTTGTCAAGCCATGCTGTGGCGGCATCCCATATAAAGTAGAGGAAGATGGGCACGGATGTTAGCCCAGGGGCAATCTTCCTCAGCAAAAAAAAAAAAAAAGGCATGGATGATAGCTCAGGGCTGATCTCCCCCAAAAAAAAAAAAAAAAAAAAAAAAAGATTTGCCCTGAGCTAACATCTGTGTCAAAGCCCCCCCCTTTTGCTTGAAGAATATTCGCCCTGGGCAAACATCTGACAAAAACTTCCTCTATTTTGTATGTGGGTTGCTGCCACAGCATGGCCGCTGACGAGTGGCGTAGGTCTGTGCCCGGGCCGCTGAAGCAGAGCGTGCTGGACTTAACCACTAGGCCACGGGGCTGACCCCCAAGGGGAGCTCTTAAGTTCATTGTCCTAAGCTATAAGGCTGGGCTAGACCCATAAATGGTCAAGGATGGCCGAGAGGGTGATCCCACCACAGAGTGGGGAGCTGTCTGTCTGCTCCTCAGGGAGAAGCCCTTGTCCTCACTGCTGTCCTAGATGGAAAGAATGTTGCTACAAAGAATGGACCCAGGTCTCTGCTCCAGGCTCCTGAGGCTAATAGAGCTGGTGAGGTTGCCCTCTGACTAGTGTGGACTGGAGCCTCAGCCAACTCCAGATAGGAAGGGCCAAGAGGGCCAATGGAGACAGGTGGTCAGGACTGTAGGCACCTGGAGGACAACATCTCTAAAAACTACCCTCCCCAGTGGTGTTGCGAGGAGTAAATGAGATGGTATATATCAAAGCACTGAACACAGTGCTTCCCCAGCATAGAGTGGGTACTCAATAATTGGGAGCTGCTGTATTAGCAGCACCCTGATTCGGTTAATGGTGAATGAGGGTCTCTAGCGGTGTGTTATGGGGCTCTGCCCTGACCAACAGTATAGATGGTGGAATTGAAGTCGCAAGGAGCAGCCTGGATCTAAACTTAGAGAGGGAGAGAAAACAGTGGGCAATAGAACCAGCATTCAAAACAATTTCGATGGGCTGGAATAAGCAAGATGACGTTGTCCTTCTGTGAGCTTCAAGACGTTACACAAAGCAGAGGATCGGGGAGAGACCTGACTTGACCCCAGCTCCGGTGAAAAGGATCTGAATGATTTAGTTGATCACAACCTGATGGGAACTAATCACGGGAGAGAAAGGCTCTGAAACCCAGCAGTCTTAGGCTGCATTAACAATGTGTCATGTCCAGACTAGGGGAAATAATAGGCCTATTGTGCTGGCTTGGTCAGGCCATATCTGGAATCTTGCATTGCTACACTGAGACTGGAATCCGGCCAGGAGGGGGACCAGGCCAGCCTCAGCTCCCAGGCCCTTGTGCTAAGCACTTCCTGTGCATTTTCTTGTTTCATACCCGAAAAACCCTATCAGGTAGTCACTATTAATATCCCCACTTTACACGCAAGGAGGTTAACTGAGTTGCCCAGGTTAACCACATAGCTAGTAAATGGAGGATCCTGGGGCTTTTCCGAATGGGTTCCTCTTGTGCTTGTACCTGAGAAGGCATGCATCATTGAACACATATTTACTAAGTTCCTACTATGAGTCAGGCCCCAAGCTAGTCAGTGGGGATATGGCGGTGAAAAACATGTGGTTACTACCTTCCTGAAGCTCTTGGTCTGCCAGGGAGCTGTCATTTGTGATACAGTGTGATGCTATAGGAGTAAAGATTTTAGGGCTGGAAGGGATTGTAGAGTCTACCTCAGCTGACTCAAGCCCAGAGAGGGAAAGAGACAGAACAGTGTCACACAGCTCATAGCAGAGCCATGGGGGCCAGTCCATGCCTTCTTCATAGTATTCAACTGTCTTACTTTGGATCTCTTCTGCTCAGCAACGGCCAAGAGCTGGGTGCCAAGATGGGATCTGCCAGGACATATGAGGAAGCTTGGTGTGGCCATCTTGGGGCAGCCAGACCTGATCTCTCCTCCGGGCAATCAGAGATTTAAAAAAAAAAAAAAAAAAAAAAAGAGCCTGATGCTGAGCAACCACAGGAACAGGGATAAGTGGCCTTTGAGAATCTTAGCAGCCCCTTCACTAAGCAGAGCAAACTGGTCCCCATCAGCCTCTTGAGTATCTGAGAAGCCTGGGGTGGCATTGGCATAAGGGATCCAGAGGTGGTAGAAAGGACTGTTTTCTGGCATCTGTGTCTGGCCTCTGCTCTAAACTAATGTTCTTCGATCTTCTTCTTCTTCTTTTTTTTTTTTTGGTGAGGAACATTGGCCCTGAGCTAATATCTGTTGCGAATTTTCCTCTTTTTGCTTGAGGAAGATTGTTGCCAAGCTAACATCTGTGCCAATCTTCCTCTATTTTGTATGTGGATGTCACCACAGCATGGCTTGATGAGCAGTGTGTAGGTCCACACCTGGGATCCAAACCCACGTACCCCAGGCCACTGAAGCAGAGTGTGCAAACTTAACCGCTATGCCACCGGGTTGGCCCCCTTGCATCTCCTTTTTTTTTTTTGGTAAGAAAGATTAGCCCTGAGCTAACATCTGTTGCCAACCCTTCTCTTTCTGCTGAGGAAGATTGGCCCTGGGATAATATCCGTGCCCATCTTCCTCTGCTTTATATGTAGGATGCCACCACAGCATGTCTTGACAAGCAGTGCATAGGTCTGCGCCCAGGATCTGAACCCATGAACCCCCGGCCAGCAAAGTGGAGCGCTTATACTTAACCACTACGCCACCCAGCTGGCCCAGCATCTTCCTTTAAGTACACATTACTTAGTACTCTTTTTCAAACCTTTCCTTGATTGTTTCAACCCAGAGTGCCACTGCAGCTTTGTATCTCCCAGGACTTCTTGTTGGGGAGACACATGTACCCCCTTCAGCCTTCTGGTAATTTTTGCTGAGAGGGACAGAGCAGGGATGTTAAGAGGGAAGGCTTTGGAAAGGGACAAAACCTTCCAGGCCTGGCTCTGCCATGTAACAGCTATGTCACTTCTGTGAGTCTCCCTTTCCTCAGCTGTAGAATGGGGATGATAATAGTACCACCCTCATTTGGTGGTTGTGAAAGCTGAATGAGATTATGGTAAGCATGGAGGAAACTCTCCATAAAAGGCCGCCGTTACCATCATAGTGAACTGTGGTCCAATCTCCTCTCCACAACTTCCTTCCTGCCAGCAGGGGCAGTGACTGGGTAGCCTCATCTTTCTTCTCCATTGCTGAGGGCCCCAAAGATGCAGGAAGAGGGAATGGCCTGTATTGGGGGATGAGAAAGGGGCAGTGGCAGGAAGAGGGAATGGTTGGTCTTAGAGGATGAGAAAGGGGCACCCGTTGGTAAAGTGCCAGCGCTACATCCTCCAGGTTTGGAGGAGGGGGAGACTGGACCTGACTCCAAATTTTAAAGGGGACAGTGGCTTCCGAGCCCCCACCCTTCCTAGGCCTGGAGGTCAGAAATCATGGGGTGTAGGCTCGACTCAGGGAGAACTCACTCTAGGGGACCTCGGGCAGGTCACTTTCAGCCTTGAGGCTCAGGTGGGACTCCTGGCCTTCTCCTCGGGTTGCGAGGAGCACGCGCAGGCGGACGCCGGTTCCAGAGAATTGGGGAACGTGGCTCAGTGGCACTGAGCGAACAGGCGGCTTGGGCAGGCGGGAGGGCCAGCGGGCGAGGGGATTGGTTGGAGCCTGGGCATCCGGGCTCCGGGATTGGTCGGATCGGAGAGGGCGGGGCTGAACCTTTAATAGGCGCGAGGGGGTGTACTGGGGAGTGTGCTCCTCGCTGGCCTGCCTGCCGGGTTTACCAGTGCGCGGCGACTACGACGGGATCCCGGGCGGAGCGGAGGCCCGCGGAGCAGAGTTGTATCCCGGGGTCCCGGTCGCAGGCGGCGTGGCCCACGGGTCATGGCCAAAGGGGAGGGCGCCGAGAGCGGCTCCGCGGCGGGGCTGCTGCCCGCGGGCATCATTCAAGCCGGTGAACGCCCGGCCCAGGTGAAGGTGAGGGCCTGGCACCCCGGGTGGAGGGCAGGGGTTGGAGGGCAGGCTGAGATGGGGGCGTCGAGGGAAAGGCCTGGTTCTGGTAGCCCTTGGGCTACCCGGGGACAGACGGGCCCAGGGGCAGGAGAGGGCCCAGGGGTGTCCTTGGGGGCAGGGGGTGATGGAGAAGGTTTGTAGGCGCCGGCGCCCCCTTTTGCCCACTCCTATTCCGCATCTCTGCGGCCCCGCCAGCAGCTCCAACGTGGTGCCCGTCTCTGCCTAGCAGGTTTGCGTTCTCCTGTGTCGAGCGGCTTCGGTTTGCCCCCCGAGAAGCCAGCCAGACTCCAGAAATCTGGGAAACCCCCCTTGGATCCCCATCTCTCACCCTCTACTCCCCACCCCCACGCCTACACGTGAGCCTCAATTCTACTTTGCGGGCAGCTCAAGTTCATTCATAAGAACAGGGGCTCTGCTCTTAAAGGAGCCGCATGCCTGAGGCGGTTGTGTGAGTGTGGCTGTTGGCGCGGCGGCCCGGGGTGCTTTCCGCGTCTTGTGGTGCTTTGCGCGTCTTAACCTTTGGCCCCATCCCCAGCTCTCTGGACATAATGAAGGACAGAATGAAATCAGGAGACCCCAGGGAGAGATCCCGGGCAATAGATATCTGCCTGGGAGGTGACTGCCTTTTCCTTTTAATTTCATTAACTGATCCTTGGAAGGAGCCGGGGTGAGCAGTTATGCTGCTACCATGCATGAGTAATCTCTCCTTTCCCTGGGCAACCTCAACCTCCCTAGTGCTCCACCCAAAGAGGGCCCAGCCCTGCACCTAGAGGACTTTCCTCCCCACTCTAAGGTCCCCTAGGAACTGGGGCAGCAGGGACGGGGAGAGGGAGGGTAGGACAGCTCCTGGGTTTGCCTGAAGCTCTGGCTGCCTATGGAGGCCAGGGACGCCCTGGGACAGATGGAAGGAACAGCTGTCCCTGCAGCCAGCTGGGCTCGGCCCCTACAGTTCTCTAGAGCCCTCACCCAGTAGGCAGATGGGTCCTGGCCTCTGAACCTGAACCAGGGCGGGAGCTGGAGCTGGGCTTAGGCAGTTCTTGGAAGCAAGAGGATTTTCAGGTTGTGGCAGTTGGTGCCGGGCGGGGACAGGTCCGCTGCTGGAGCATGCTCCCCCTCCAACTTGGGAAGGAGTATGGCTGAGGCCTTGGGGGGAGTTTTTTAGGGATAGTGAGCTGATATGTCCTCAGAATCTGGGGGGTGAGAGTGGGGGTGTGGCTTAGGGGCAACTTCCTCAGTATGGATTCCCCTTTTCCAGGTTCCTAAGAACAGAGAATACCTTTCTTTTCTTGTGGGAGAGGTGATCTCCCTGGGTGGGAACAGGGCAAGGCAGACTTGTTCCTCCTGGCAGAGTTGGCTGGAGGGATGGTCCTGCCTCTGAAATCTTCTAGGATGGAGGCTAGGATCTTGAGCCTCCTTTCATCCTTTCCTCTTCTTCACAGAAGGAACCGAAGAAGAAACAACAGTTGTCTGTTTGCAACAAACTTTGCTACGCAGTTGGGGGGGCCCCCTACCAGGTGACGGGCTGTGCTCTGGGGTTCTTCCTGCAGATCTATCTGTTGGATGTGGCTCAGGTGAGTAGGCTGAGCCTGCCAGGGCTCCTCCGGCATCCCGAGGTAGGAAAGACTAGGGACTCCCCGGTAGGTTCATTCAGTTTTCCCCGTCTGTGAAAAGGGACTGGGAATCCCTACTTTTCTGCTTCTCAGAGTCACAGTGGATTAGAAACAAGAAGGATATGGAAAGTATCCAGAAGAGGAGTCTATCTGCCCCAGGAGTCTTAGCTGGCAGGGTCAGGCAACTCCTCCTAGCCTGGCAAGAGCAACAGAGCCTGGAGGGTAGGTGGTGGTGTGAGGGAGAATGGAGCCTGCTCGTGATGCTGTTCTTAGAAGAAACTGGCACACCATGTTCCTGGCTGGACAACAGTTAGCTGGCTTGCCTCAGGGGTTGGTGGATGTTGGCAGGCTTGTGGACGAGGTGCATCCCACCTTCCCCTGAGGAGCAGAGGCATGTCAGTGGGCAGAGGGGCCCTCAAGTGCTGGGCTAAGTTAGAGTGCCCCAGTACACAGGGTCTTTGACTGGGAGGGGTACTTAGGGTGAAGCAGGGTTCCTCTGTGCTTTAAGAAACCTTGGCCAGCAGCCTGGCATCCTGAGAATTCACCTTGTCTGGATGGGAGAGTGGGATGCTGAACAGCTATGGCTATTGGGGCACCCGCACTGGGCATCTTTTCTATGTAGCACCTAATTTGGCAAGCAAAGCATCTTTGTTGTATCCATTTATAGGTGGGGAACACTGAGCCCCAGAAAAGACAAATGACTTCATTTAGCTAGGTTTTTTTTTTTTTTTTTTTTGTGAGGAAGATCAGCCCTGAGCTAACATCTGTGCTGATCTTCCTCCACTTTATGTGGGACGCCGCCACAGCATGGCCTGACAAGTGGTGCCTTGGTGCACGCCTGGGATCCGAACCTGGGCCGCCAGCAGTGGAGCACGAGCACTTAACCACTACGCCACAGGGCAGGCCCATTTAGCTAGTTTTTGAGTAACTCCCATGGGCTGGGCCCTGAGTAGGGTACAAATATGAGGAACCTGCAGTTAGTGTAAAACTGTGTTGTCGGGAGTGTTAGGGTTGGGAAAGTCAGATAGAGGAGACTGCAGTGTGGGTGAGGCCACCAGCTTCCCTACTTCCTGGAGCAATAACAATAGTAAGATGGATAGGAAGAGTGCAGAGAAGCTGTCTATTTGGGCCTGGAAGGTTTGGGGGGAGGTGGATAGCTTGAGTGGGTCTTGACAGGCCACTTTTTAAGAGCATCTATAGGCTCCTTTTTCCACATCTGAGATAAAGCTTGACCTTGTAAGATAGGGATCATAACTCCCATTATACAGATGGGGAAATTGAGGCCCACTGTGGTCACTCAGTAAATGCTAATCCTAATACCAGGTGGTTGGGGGCTCAGGGCTGTGAGAGGAAGGCACAGAAATGATTCGGGATTCATTTTAATTGATGGGAGTGTTTTCAAGTGGAGGGGAGGACATAAAGGGACTGATCTGGGAAAGTTTCTAAGGAGGCACACAGTGCTACTGCTATCAGAGAACTGTTATTGTCGTTATTAACAAAGCAAGTGAAGTTGCTTAAGGCCTGGGTGGGAGCAGCACAGGGCCTGGCTGAGGCTGGGAGGGAGCCCCTGCTTTTGCCTACCTGTAGGGTTGAGGTGGGTAGAAGGATGAACAGGTTGTCTTTTGCCTCTTCCCCATTCTAGGTGGACCCTTTCTCTGCCTCCATCATCCTATTTGTGGGCAGAGCTTGGGATGCCTTCACAGACCCCCTGGTGGGTTTCTGCATTAGCAAATCCTCCTGGACCCGCCTGGGCCACCTCATGCCCTGGTGAGTAGAAGAGGCTCCATTGAGGTGGCAGAAGGCAGGGCTTCCAACATGTCTACCCTTTGGTCCTTTCATCTGGCTTGTCACAAGCTGGGGGATGAGGGGAAGGAATGATGCAAAAACCTGGGAGTCAAAACCCCAGCCAAGGCCTCAGCTGCCCCAGACATGGGCACTGGGACACCCTTCCAGTTCATTCCCAGGCTGGCCATATTTCTAGATGGGGCAGCTTCCCCCAGCCCAGGCCCTGTTGCTCCGTAAGGTCCATTCTCTTCAATGAAGCTGGAATTCTGACTTCTCCCTCTCAGTCACTTCCCACAGTGGCAGAGGTAGTACTGCATAGTGGTTGCGAGGTTACACTCTGGAGCCAGCCTGCTTCAGTTTGAATCCCAGCTTCACCACTTAGAGCTGTGCAACCTTGGGCGAGTCACTTAACATCTCTAAGCCTCAAATTTCTTTATCTGCAAAATGGGGATAATAATTAGGCCTATCTCCCAGGGCTGTGGTGAGGGTTGAATGTTTCTTTGTATGTAAAGTACTTAGAACTGTGCCTGGCACATATTAAGTGATATATAATTTGGCACCCCCTCAGAGTGGCTCCTGGTAGGGCAATGATGGGAGGTAATAGCAAGAATGGACTAGCAGACCCGCAACCTCTTGCCCCTTGGATAATGTGAACTTTTTCCTTGGTACAAAGTGTACACTACTCAGCCTCAGGCTATGGGGCAAGATGGGAGGAGGTGGTGCCACAGATCAGACAGCAAAAGGAGACACACAGGACAGGCTGACAGGCCGGAGCTCTGGTTCCCTCCAGGACATCCTGCTTGGTGAGGGGGGGACCTACCTCTTTCATCTCCCGCCCATCCAGGCTCAAGTGGGCGCCTTCCTGCCCCAGGGGCGCCCATACCTGGTCTCCGGCCTTCAAGGCCTTCAAAGCTCTTCCCGCAGCCCCCGCCCCCCCACAGTTTCCTTTCTCACGAGCCCCCCCCCACCCACCCAAATCCCGAATCCCGCCAGCCCCTGGCTAAGACCCAGATTGGGGCCTTTGATCCTGGCTTCAGTGAGACTAGGAGGCAAGACAACCTGCTTTACCTGGGCAGGCTGCTCAGGCTGGTGATCCCAGAGAGCCAGCCCGTGAGGTACCGGCCTCCCTGGTAACCAGCGGGAGGCGGGGCTCTGCTGCCACATCTCCTCATGAGGCCCAGCCAATGGGAGGCAGCTGCTCTGGCCAGCACAGTGCAGCAGCAGCCTGGATTACTCCCGGTTACATTGGGCTGAGGAGAGGATGGAGTGTTGGACTGTTTGACGAAGGCTGATGGAGGAGCCCTTGTTCTGCGGGCATTCGGGAGGGGTGGAGGCGGGCAGAGAGGGAGAGCAGAGGAGGCCCTCCCTGTGGGAGGTAGGATCTGAGGGCCTCTTGCTGGGCAGGTGTGGCAGCTGGCTTGGTGAAGTTGCTGAGGGCCCTGCAGGCTGGTTTCTGATTTAGCGCAATGTCTGTATACATGTCCTCACCTGCCTGGGTGGTAACTCCTGGTGATGCTTCTTGAGTGGTACCCCCACCCCTGTGCCTGAGTGCCCTTGGATCACTCATGAACTGAGGCTTTGCCATGTGTATATGTGACTCCTTCCTGTTCATACCACCTTTAGGACCTGGGCCCCTCCTCAGGCCTGAGACCCAGCACCCTGACTCTTCTCGGTGTAGGAAGAAGGGTTCATGAGCCCTGTGACCCATGTCTCTTCGCGGGCCTCAGACCAGCCCCTGCCTTCAGCTGGCATTTAAATCCCCCCCTTCAGACCAGGAAGACTTTGACAGACACTTTCCCTGGAGTTCCCAAGGCCAGCCAGTGAGAGGCAGGGTATCAGCAGGCTCACACGAGGAGGCCGAGATGCTGCAGGGCTGGGCCTGAGCTCTTATTCCCAGCCCAGTGCTCTCCGCAGCTCCCGGGCTGTGGGCTTGTACCCTCCCACTGAGCTTTCCTGGTATGATAATCACAGCAAACACTTACCATGTCCCAAGCACTATCCCACATTTTAATATCATAAGTCTCAAAACTACTTCAACCCTATGAAATAGAACCAAAGTCCTCATACTGGCCTGTAAGACTCTACATGACCTGTTATTGCATTTCCTCTCCAACCTCATCTAATTCCATCTCCCGTGCTCCCTCCACTTCAGCCCCACTGGCCTCCTTACTCTTCCTCAGACCTGCCAGGCACATCTCCTGCCTGAGGGCCTTTGCATTGACTGTTCCCCATGCTTGGCACAATCTTGCCTCAGACATCTGCAAGGCTAACTCCCTCCTGTCATTCAGGTCTTGGCACAGATGTCACCTTCTTAGTGAGGGCTACCCTGTCCACTCGGTTGTGAATTGCACCCCAGCACTCCTAATCCCCTGTAGCCTGATTTATTTCTTTTCTCCATAGCACTTAATCTCCTTCTGTGTTATATAATTTTTTTCTTATTATAGTAAAATATACATAACATAAAGTTTACCATTTTAACCATTTTTAAGTGTACAATTGAGTGGCATTAAGTACATTCACATTGTTGTACAACCATCACCGCCAGCCATCTCCTGAATTTTTTCATCTTCCCAAACTGAAACTCTATACCCGTTAAACAATAACTCCTCATCCTCCCTTCCCGCAGCCTCTGGCAACCACCCTTCTACTTTCTGTCTCTGAATTTGACTACTCCAGGTACCTCAAGTGGGATCATACTATATTTGTCTTTTTTTTTTTTGGCTGGGAAAGATTTGCCCTAAGCTAACATCTGTTGCCAATCTTCCTCTCTTTTTTTTTTTCCTCCTCCCCACAGCCCCTGTACATAGTTGTATATTCTAGTTGTAGGTCCTTCTAGTTCTTATATGTGAGCGGCTGCCACAGCATGGCTACTGACAGACGAGTGGTGCGATTCAAACCCGGGCCGCCAAAGCAGAGCGTGCCGAACTTTAAGCACTAGGCCATGAGAGCTGGCTCGATATTTGTCCTTTTGTGTCTGGCTTATTTCACTTAGCATAATGTCTCCAAGGTTCATCCGTGTTGTGACATGTATCAGAATTTCATTCCTTTTTAAGGCTGAATAATATATATAACTTTTATTTTTATTTTTTTATTTTTTTGTGAGAAAGATCAGCCCTGAGCTAACATCCGATGCCAATCCTCCTCTTTTTGCCGAGGAAGATTGGCCCTGGGCTAACATCCGTGCCCATCTTCCTCTACTTTATGTGGGACGCCGCCACAGCATAGCTTGACAGGAGGTGCATCGGTGCATGCCCGGGATCCGAACCTGCGAACCCTGGGCCACCCTGGGCCACCGAAGCAGAGCACGCGCACTTAACCATTGCGCCACTGGGCTGGCCCCTATAACTTTTTAGTTACGTTTATTTTTTTCTTTGCTGACTAGAATGTGAGTTCCACAAGGGCAATGACTTGTCTGCTTGTTCACTGATGCATCCCAAGTAAGCAGAACAGTGCTCAGCACAGAGGTGGCACTTGAGTATTTCTTGAGTAAATGTTGAATGGAAGGTCAGTGCTATTACTATTCTCCAAATGAGAAAATGAGCCTCAGAGAAGTTAAATAACTTGCCCAACACTGTTATTTATAGTTATTTTGGTAGAGTCAGAATTAGATCCCTGACGTGTGGCTCCAAAGGCCTTTTAACCACCGTTCTCTGCTGCCTGTCTCTCCTGATGACATGAAGTTAGTCCATCTTGAGGTCTCACCACTAGTGATAGTGTGGGGCTCACAAGTGGGGGGCGACATTTGCCCCCCTTATACTTATTTCATTAGGCCTCTCCAGAAGGAAAACCTTCGCCTGGAGTTGGCCTCCCCAAGCCTGCACGTGTGCACCGTGTGTGTGCATGCATGAGAACACCAGGGTGAGGATTGCTCCTCCCTGCCTCCCCGACCCACCACCTGAGCTCTTGGCCTCCATTCTCAGCGCCCCCATCCCATAGGAAACCCCTGCCTCTGGAGCTCTCTCCCCTGGGGAGATGTAGGTGAGACTCAGGGTCTGACCTCATGTTCCTTGCTCAGGATTTCAGTCCAGGGGCCCTGTCCCAGGCTGCCCTTCCGGGCGTGGCCATCAGCCTCTTCCCAGAGACCCTGGGGTGGGTGGATTCAGGGGAGGAATTTCCTTCCTGGCAGGTACCCTGTGGGGTTACAGAGCAATCCAGGCTGGGCCCAGGTCCTGGGGTTTTGGCATCCAGCCCCCAATGAGACCTCCCCGTTCTCAGGATCATCTTCTCCACACCCCTGGCCGTCATTGCCTACTTCCTGGTCTGGTTCGTGCCTGACTTCCCACAGGGCCAGTTCCTGTGGTACCTGCTTTTCTATTGCCTCTTTGAGACACTGGTCACGGTGAGTGTGGGCACCCCCCCTGGTTGTCTGGGGGCAGGGGTGAGGGCAGTCCCTGGGGCCTCCAGAGTTGGTGCCCGAAGCCACGTCTGACTGGCCGAGGGCCTCTCTTCCATGCCAGTGTTTCCACGTTCCCTACTCAGCTCTCACCATGTTCATCAGCACAGAGCAGAGTGAGCGGGATTCTGCCACTGCATATCGTAAGTCTCTCCCCAGCCCACTGATTCCACCCACCAGGGACCCTGGGTCAACTGTTCCCTGACCCTCCTGCCACATTTCTCCCCTTGCTGGAAGTGAGTGTGAAACCATCTTAAAAATAACTCAATCTCTTTATTGCTCTGGTGAGACCAGAGAGGTGCAAAGACTAGCCAGAGGTCACATAGAGCAAGGCGATGAGTTTAGGCCAAGATGCTATCCGCCCCACCACCCTATACCCACCTGACTGGAGCTGCTGCCATCACCTGGGGCTAGAGCTGGGCTTCTCTCCATCTCACCTTCTTCCCTGGGGACCCACAAGTCATGAGCCCCCTCCAAAGGACCTCCTTTTCACTGCTCAGGGATGACTGTGGAGGTGCTGGGTTCAGTGCTGGGAACAGCGATCCAGGGGCAAATCGTGGGCCAAGCGGATACACCTTGTCTCCAGGACCCCAACGGTTCTGCAGTGGCCTCGGAAGGTGCCAATCGCACACACAGCACCACCTCACCCAGAGAAACGGTGAGGCTCCTGGCAGGCAGGGATTTGGGGAGACGAGGAACGATGGGGTGGTTTGCAGTTATCCTCAAAACAGTCATAATAACTAGTGTTCATTAGGTGTCTGGCATTTGATACACAAGCTGTTAACATGCCTACTTTGCAGATAAGGAAACTGAAGCATCAAGAAGCTAAACAATTTGCCCAGGGTCATAGAGCTCATGAGTTGCAGAAACTGGATTTGGGGAGATTTAAACTGTGCACTCTCCGACTCCACAGCCTGGCTTCTTAACATTTTGTTCCTCTGGACTTTGCCCAGGCTTGGGAAGCAGCAGCAGGCCCAGGATGACATTCCCATTTCACAGATGGAGATAGTGAGGCCCCCAGAGAAGAAGGGACTGGTCCAAGGTCATTGAGTGGAGCTACTGGGAGTTGGGATGAGATCAGACTGACTGTCTCTCTCTGTTGTCTTTACTCCCTTTCTAGCAAAATGCATACCTGCTGGCAGCAGGGGTCATTGCCTCCATCTACGTCATCTGTGCTGTCATCCTGACCCTGGGCGTGCGGGAGCAGAGAGGTGAGGGGCCCTGGGGAAGGGTACAGGCCCCAGCACAGGGTGGCTTTGTCCCTCCGCCTGGGCCCCAGGCTTTGGGAGGGGCCTCTGCTCCTTCCTCACTGTCCCCTCTGGCCCCCAGAACCCTGTGAGACTCAGCAGGCTGAGCCGATGTCCTTCTTTCGGGGCCTCCGGCTAGTCATGAGCCATGGCCCGTACGTCAAGCTTATTGCCGGCTTCCTCTTCACCTCCCTGGCTTTCATGGTGAGTGGGGTCCTGACATGCTCAGCCTTGGGAGGGTGCGTGTGCTAAGGACTCAGGTTGTGACAAAGCCGGAGGGATAGGCGGAATGGGGGTGGGATGAGCAGAGGTCCCTGGAGCATGGGGAGCAATATCTTGGGGAGGCTCAGCCCCAACATCACGTCTTTCCTTGTGTTTCCTTCCCCCTCTCCTGCCCCATCCCCCAGCTGGTGGAGGGGAACTTTGCCTTGTTTTGCACCTACACCCTAGGCTTCCGCAACGAATTCCAGAATCTGCTTCTGGCCATCATGGTGCGTGTGGGGCCCCGGGGGTGGGTAGGCAGCCTGGGCTGAAGTGGCATAGGCTGCGAGATGGTTCTTGGGGTAGTCAGGGGACGTTTCCCAGACTGGCCGAAGGTCGTGAAGGGAGGAGGGAGGTGTCTCAGAATATTTGGTTGGACCTGACCTCCAACTGCTTAGGTAGGACTGTGAAAGAAAGAGTTTGGGTACATATTTCAAAGCGTTATGTTGTACACCTTAAACTAATACAATGTTATATGTCAATTATATCTCAATAAAACTGGAAAAAAAGAGAAGAAGAAGTTTGGGGCTGGATGCTCAAGTAGAGAGCGTAGCAAAAGCAGGGGTGCGGAGGCCGAGGACTTCAGAACGTCGTGCTCAGCTGTGCTCAGGGAGGCAGGAGATGTGGTTGGGACTAGCTCTCGGCTCCCCTGGAGGCCATGAAAGGTGCCTGCAGCTTCCCCACTGCCCAGATGATGTCATCTGGCTCTCTCAGGCAGGGCTGGGAACACCTTTGGGGTTCTGGGAAGGGCGGGAGGGCTTCCCTGGCTCTAACCCACTTCCCTCACCCCCTTGGTCCATCCACAGCTCTCAGCCACATTCACCATCCCCCTCTGGCAGTGGTTCCTAACCCGGTTTGGCAAGAAGACGGCGGTATACATTGGGATCTCAGTGAGTGGCTGAAAGTGTAGGGTCTGGGCTGGGTTGGGGGTTGCTGGTGGGAGCCTCCCAGCTGACTCACCTTCCTGTCCCCACCCCCTCCCGTAGTCAGCAGTGCCATTTCTCATCTTGATGGTCCTCTTCGAGCATAACCTGATCGTCACATACGTGGTGGCTGTGGCAGCCGGCATCAGTGTAGCGGCTGCCTTCTTACTACCCTGGCAAGTATATACAGGCCCACCTATATAGAGTTGTGTTGCCCAGCCTCCCACCCCCAATTCTGAAGCTCCTTGGGGAGAATTCTGTGGAGGCTTCTCTTCCTGTAGGCCATTCTGTGGGTCCAGGTTGGAGGTGGGGCAGGTCTTCCCCATACAGTTATACAGGTTGTGAACTGTGCAAGAATACCTACTTAGTATAGGAAATGGGACTAAAATTTGGTCTGCACGCTACTTGCCAAGCTGAGCACCTAGAGAGTGCTACTTCATCTTGGAGGAAGGTGCCTTTTTTTCTTATTCACAAAAAGTTGCCACCTCCTCACTGAGCTGTGTGCCTGTGGGGCTGCAGAGTCCCCGAGGGCCACCTCTTCTCGTTGACACAGAGGCGCTGTATGGGCTAGTGGGGGCCCGGGGTTGCTGGGTGGGTGGGTCCTCATGGCTGGCACCGTTCTATGCAGGTCCATGCTTCCCGACGTCATTGACGACTTCCACTTGAAGCAGCCCCACTCCCGTGGAACCGAGCCCATCTTCTTCTCCTTCTATGTCTTCTTCACCAAGTTTGCCTCCGGAGTCTCACTGGGCATCTCCACCCTCAGTCTTGAGTGAGTGGGGCAGGGGCCTGGGGCAGTGCTGGGCACGGCCAGGCCCCAGCTGTGCCATCCTCATCATTCCCCTGCCCACTGGGTCCCACAGCTTTGCCGGGTACCAGACCCGTGGCTGCACCCAGCCAAGGCGTGTCAAGTTTACACTGAAGATGCTGGTGACCATAACTCCCATAGTCCTCATCCTGATAGGCCTGATGCTCTTCAAGCTGTACCCCATTGACGAGGAGAAGCGGCGGCAGAACAAGAAGGCCCTGCAGGCTCTGAGGTGAGAGCAGGGAGAGGATGGAGAGGTGGAGGAGGGGGCATCATCTAGTCTAAGCCCTCCACGCGGGCCTCCTGTGGCCAAGTCCAGACTCCCGCACGTCTGCCCTTGACGGCATCTGCCCCTTCCCATGGCACATTCACAACAATGGCAGCTGACATTTCCTGAACACTTAGCTGCATGCCAGGTACTGTGCTGAGTGGTTTTACATTTATTATTCAACAAATACTTATTGGAAGCCTACTATGTGCCAGCCATTGCTCTAGTGAATGAAACAAACATCCCTGCCTTCAAGGGGTGTGTATTTTAGGGAATGTGCATTCCTGATCTCCTGTAGTCCTTCAACAAGCCTAGGTGTCAGAGATGCTACAATTCCCACTCTGCAGATCAAGAAACTGAGGCTTAACTGGGAAGAGTGACTGGCCAATAAGGGGTAGAGGTGGAGTTTGAGCCCCGGGAGGGCAGTCTGACTCCAGAGCCTGTATTCTTCACAGCTCTCCCGGCAGGCAGGACCTCGAGTGTGGCCTGCGCCCTGCCTTTCAGGAGACAAGCAGGTAGGGTGAAGTGAGTCATGCCAGCCCATCAGCCAGCCCAGGCCAGAGCATAGTCCTGGGGCTTGTGAACAACGAACAGATCAACCAGCAGTTTCTGGGCTGAAAGTGGGAGTGAGCGAACTGTCTGCGTCCTGTGGTTTAGACTTGCCTTAGAGCTGGCTAAGACTGCAGGGCCCAGATCCCATGAGCAATGAGGCAGGTCGGGGCAGGGGACGGGTAAGGGTGCTTCCTTCAATCTGTCTCCTCTGGCTGTTGCAGGGAAGAGGCCAGCAGCTCCGGTTGCTCTGACACAGACTTTACAGAGCTGGCCAGCATCCTTTAGGGCCTGCGGTGTTGCCTGAAGCTACCATGCACACGGCCTGGGTCACCAGGGCACATGAGGAATCCGGGCCTGCTTGCCCACTCACTGAACATCTGGTGCCAGGAAGGGAGCCAAAGACTCGAGAGTAAGCGGCCCAGGACACCTCCTGTGCCCACTGTGGGGCAAATCGTTCATACAGCTGCCCGCCTCCCCTCTGCTCTCCCATGGGGCCGAGCCCTGGGGCTGCTACTGTGAATATGCCAAGGACTGATGGGGCCTAGCCTGGAACACTAATGTAGAAACATTTTATACAGAGACTAATTAATAACTTAATCACCATGTACATAGCAATGTGTGTATGTATATGTCTGTGAGCTATTAATGTTATTAATTTTCATAAAAGCTAGAAAACAGAGCTGCCTGTTTCTGTCTTTGTCCTCGGCCACTCACTGAACACTTCTGTGCTAAGACTCTGATAGTAAGAGCGAGCACTAAGCTGCAGGTGCCCTGGGTGGGGAGAATGTGTCTAGAGGTGTGATAACAGCATCAGCTAACCTTTACTAAACACCTCTCTGTACCAGGCACGGGGTGGAGGCTTCACGTTCACTTGGCTGGTGTTCTCACTTAATCTTTGAAACCATTTTGCTAAGTTACAACTATCTCCATTTTAAAGATGAAGAAACTGAGCTCCAGTGTAGAGAGGGACTTGGCTCAAGTCTGGAATTCCATCCCAGACTTGTGAGACTCCAGTACCTTCACCACCACCCTCCACTCCCCTGCGTCTGAGAACAACCGACCAACTGGCACACAGATGGCTGCTCTGCCCAGGCCCGTGCACTGTGCTTCCCGCCCTGCGCTTCCTGCCCTGTGCTTCCCGCCCTGCGTGTGCCTGAGCATGTGGGGCTGGCTGTGCTGGTGCAGACTCGGTGACTAAGGTCCAGTGGGGTGCTAGAGACCTGTTTCTCCATAACTGTTAATGACAGTGTTGGAGGATGAGAATGTAACTGTCTGGGTGTGTGTGTTGGTTCAAGAAGGGTCTCACCACTGGTGTGTTGGTGAAAAACCACCTCTGGTGGTGAGAAGGGTGGTGGGAAAGTCCTAGTTTACAGCATCTGCCTATTTCCATGGCGTAAATATTCCCACCATAGCCAATTTCAAGTTACCAGTCGTTGTACTGTCTTGTAAAATTCCTGAAAATGTAACAATCTGCTCTCACAAGCTGGTAGGAGCTTGCCCCAGCACATCACTGGGTTTCACACACTTAGGCCAAGCTCCAAAAATCAGAAACACAAAGCTGACAGAGTCAGGGCCTACTAGTCCAACCTATTTATTTTATTTTATTTTATTTTTTTTTTTAAAGATTTTATTTATTTATTTTTCCCCCCAAAGCCCCAGTAGATAGTTGTATGTCATAGCTGCACATCCTTCTAGTTGCTGTATGTGGGACACGGCCTCAGCATGGCCGGAGAAGCGGTGCTTCAGTACGCACCCGGGATCCGAACCCAGGCCTCCAGCAGCGGAGTGCACGCACTTAACTGCTAAGCCACAGGGCCGGCCCCAACCTATTTATTTTATAAATGAGGCCCAGAGAGGAAAGTGCGTAGAATATTCAGGCTTGGTTTTTACTTTGGGTGTGAGGCTCCATTTTTGCTGAGGAAGTTCTGCCAAGCCACTTTTATAAATTTATACTAACAGGCAGTGTTATACATGCTTAATAAATATCAATTCAGTTAGTCCTCCTAACTTCCCTATGAGGTAAGTATGTTCTTATCCCCATTTCTGAGGCGCAGAAAAGTTAAGTAGCTTGTCCAAGATCATCAGACAGGAAATGGAGGAGCTGACATTTGAATCCGGGCTGTCTAGGTGTATGTCCTGGGCTCTTAGCCACTCCTTTAGGCTGTTATGTGAACCAATATGTTTGCCACCACCAAGCCAGGTCCCACCGCCTTTGGTGCTGCCATCTCAGGGTCAGAGGCTGCCTGGGCAGGTCAGGAGCCCTGGGCTCTGGTCTGGCCTCCGTAGCTGGAGCACTCGAGGACTCTGAGATAATGTTTGCAGAGGTGCACTCACACCTCCCCTCTCCCTCCACTCCAATCATTAACCACCAAATCCTGTCTTTAAAACAGAAAAATTATTTTCAATTTCCTAACCACTCAAGCTTGCTTCTTTCTCATCCCTACAATTACTTACCAGGTCTTATCTTCTCTCACCTGGATGATTAGACCAGCATCCTCACTGGCCTCTGTCTTTGATTTGATCTCACATTTCTTCTGCAAACTATTCAAGATAACCCAATAGCTCTCTTGTTTGGAAACCCTTCTGTGAGTCCCCACTGCCCTCAGGAGGAAGTCCAAGACCCCTGCTGACCGCCCCAGATCTAGATGCAGCCCTTTGTGCAGGCACCTGCCCAGCCCCGGAATACACCTCTGGCCTCTGGTTCATCCGGCAGACACGAGTCCAGTGTGTCTTGGCTCTAGCCTGCCTCTCTAAAGCCTTTCCTGGCCCCCTGCTCCATGCCCCCTTCATCGTGGTCTCCCACACTGAGCCCAAGGCCGGGCATGGAGGGGTGGGGTGGGGCATGTGAAGCTAAATAAACATGAGCTTTGATGAAAAGGCTTTGTGAGCCCTACCCAACTCCCACTGACCCACTATAATGCTTCTCTCTCGGCCTCAGTTTCCCCCAACTGTACAATGAGAATTTGGAATTGAAAACCCTTGCCTCTCTCTAGTTTCATGCTCCCAGAAAATTGCTCTCTTCCTTAAAGACCCACTGCTGACTTCTTGGGGGATGATCTGGGGGTGGCATAGATGGGGGAAGTGGGAAAGCAATCTGGGATCCTAGAAACCCCCTGGGTCATTTGCTACTACGTGTCCTTTCTGGACAGCTCATACCTACTCATCCTTCGGCAGAGATGTCATCTTGACTTCCTCTATGCTTGAATCCAGCATTACTACAAAAAATCCTGCCTCTACCTCTCGACTCTCCTGCTGCCCTCAGCCATGCCAGTCACACCCCCACACTCCCCCAACCCCTGCTAAGGACCAGGTATGGCTTTGGCTCCACCTGCTGGAAGAGAGGGGCAACACCTTTTCAACACCTTCCAATAACAGACCAAGATCTGTCATTGACTGGCTCTGCGACCTTGGCTATCCATTTATAGAACAAATATTTATAATGGGCCTACTATGTGCCATGCACCAGCTAGGCTCTGAGGATAGAGTAGTGAACAAAATAGAGCTTACATTCTTGGTCGGACCAATGACAAGTAAATGGACATATAAATAAGATAATTTCAGATTGAAATAAGCACCATGAAAGAAAGAAGCAGGGTGAGGTAATAGAGGGGACTGGCAGGGAGGCTATTTTAAATTGACTGCTCAGAAAAGAACGTTCTGAGAAAGTGTCACTTGACTTGAATCACAAAAGAGAAGTAGCAGACATTTGAAGAGGAGGAAAGCATTGCAGGTGGAGGAGACAGCTAGCACAAAGACCTCAAGGTAGAAAAGAGCTTGGTGTATGTGAAGTACTGAAAGGAGACAGTGCAGCCAGAGTGTAGTGGACGAGAGGGCAGGTGGTACGAAGTGAGCTTGGAGAGGTATACAGGATCCTCCAGGGCCTTGTAGCCCACAGCAAGAGTTTGAATTTTACCTTGAGAACAGCCAAAAAGCCATTGAAGAGATTTAAACAGAGAAGTGATTTACATTTTTAAAAAAGGAAGGCAGAGGCACATGGCACAGGGCTTTATGGGCCATGTTAAGCATGTTGGTCTTTATCCTAAGAGCAGAGAGAAGCCATTGACAAGTTTTAAGTAGAGGAGTCATGTGATAGATCAAAAGTTGAGAAAGATTGTATCATCTGCTTTATGGAGAAAGGATTGAAGGAAGCGAAAGTAGAAGCAGGACAACTAATGCAGAGGCTGCTCTTGTAATGTTCTGAGGCCATGAAAAGTACCAGACTGGGGTGCTGGCAGAGGAAATGGAAAGAAGACAAATTTGGCAGCTGGTTGGCCTGGATTATTGAGAGAGAGGGAGAGGGGAAAAAATGCAAGTGATGCCTAGATTTCTCGCTTGGGAAACAGAGTGGCGCTTCAACTTAGTAACACAGGGAGCACCGGAGGAGAAGCAAGCTTGGGGGACAGAACAATTCATTTGTCACTTGTTTGTATCATTTTTACATGAAAAAAGAAGAAATCAGGGGCCAGCCCAGTGGCATAGTGGTTAAGTTCACATGCTCCGCTTCGGCGGCTTGGGGTTTGCGGGTTCGGATCCTGGGCACCGACATACACACTGCTCATCAAGCCATGCTGTGGCAGTGTCCCACATACAAAATAGAGGAACACTGGCACAGATGTTAGCTCAGGGCCAATCTTCCTCACCAAAAAGAAAAAAAAAAAGAAGTCACACTTAGAAATTTCACTGAGCCAGGAACAAGATTATACACTTTCACCAATATTACTATATAACGTTTAATTAGAGGTATTAGCCAATGCAACAAGATGAGATAAAGAAATAAAAATTGGAAAGGAGTAGGTAAAATTATCTTTATTTGTCAATGTTCGTATTCCAAGAGAGCCCAAATGAATCAACTGAAAAACTACTATAAAAAAGAAAATTCACTAAGGAAATGGGGTATAAAGGTAACACACAGGGGCCGGCCCTGTGGCGTGGTGGTTGAGTGCGCACGCTCCGCTGCTGGCAGCCCCGGTTCAGATCTCGGGAGCGCACTGATGCACTGCTTGTCAGGCCATGCTGTGGCGGCGTCCCATATAAAGTGGAGGAAGATAGGCACAGATGTTAGCCCAGGACCAGACTTCTTCAGCAAAAAAGAGGAGGATTGGCATGGATGTTGGCTCAGGGCTGATCTTCCTCACACACAAAAAAGTAATATACAAAAATCTATTCTCTTTATATATACAAACTGCAATCAGTTAAAACTGCATTATTCAACATGATATCCACTATCCTATGTGGCTATTTGAATTTAAATTTAAAATAATTAAAATTAAATAAAACTTAAAATTCAGTTTCTCAATCATACTAATTTCATTTTAAGTTCTTTTTTTTTTTTTTTTTTTTTCCTGGGAGGAAGATCAGCCCTGAGCTAACATCCATGCCAGTCCTCCTCTTTTTGCTGAGGAAGACCGGCCCTGAGCTAACATCTATTGCCAATCCTCCTCTGTTTTTTTTTTTTTTCCCCTTTTCTCCGCAAAGCCCCAGTAGATAGCTGTACATCATAGTTGCACATCCCTCTAGTTGCTGTACGTGGGATGCCGCCTCAGCATGGCCAGACAAGCGGTGTGTCGGTGTGCGGCCGGGATCCAAACCCGGGCCGCCAGTTGCAGAGCGCAGCGCACTTAACTGCTAAGCCATGGGGCAGGCCCTACATTTTAAGTTCTTATTAGCCATAAGTGATTAGTGGCAACTGTA